TAATCCTCCCCTTCGTTAAGACACGTATGTAAGGAAAATATATTTATGAAATAACATAATATTATGTTCAATATTTTAATTAAATCTTAAAATTTTAGAGTAGATTAGTAGCTGCTATTTTGAAAAACATTTTAATAACGGAAAAGATACGAAAAGAAAAATCCGAACTTCCCCCAAAAAAATTGGTTCATTCACGGGAAAGCGTTTGGTCTTCATTGAAAAAATTTGAATTGTCTGTATCCCAGACTCACATGTTATTACCGAGCAGCCGAGCAACGACGCGCCGTAATTGCTTGCATTATTATTATATATGTTATGGTTATTATTATGTTGTTCGGAAGGAGAACTGTGGGGTACGGTGCGTGAAGATGATTAAAATCATATCGATTTTCTACGGCGGTGGCTGTGCTAGTGGATTTATTAGATCGAAAAACACAGAGAACCTATATTATTGCCTGAGGCGGCGTTAATAATCACCAAACCGATTTGTTCTAAAAACCACAACGTTATTTTTGTCAATTAATGTAGTGTATAACGTGTACTATATACTATGTGTATATATATATATATATATATACAGCCTATACAGCTTATTCCTGTGTGCTCCTAACCCCACGAAACTCTAGAGACGAAGGTATACACACCCGCCGTATGATGACTGAACAGCGAGCAAAACCGGTCTGATTTGGAATGAGCGCGGTGCACTGTTTTCGTATCAAAAAGAAAAAGAAGAATCGACAAATAATAATAACCGGTAAAACAATGGCAAACGCTGTCGCTGGTAAACCGAAAACCCGATCAATGGAAGGTGAACGAGCACGTAAAATAGCGAAAACTAGGCTACATACTTGGATTTCATATTATCTTATACACACCGATTGTATAATAATATGTCTGCTGTCCGTCTGTCTGCCTCTTTCTCGCCACAAACGGCATATTTTAATGATAGCGCAGCATCACACACAAACAACTTAAGTGTAACACAGTAGCCATGTGGATACACTAAGTGTTATTGCTATAATAATTTTTGGCAATTGTCGTCAATCATTAATAGTATTGCGACTGTGTTTTGTTACTGTAAACAACTTATACACAGAAAAATGTATTAATTAATAACAACCAAACCATTTAGCTTTCAACGCTCAAGATCGTTTTGCCAAAGCCCAAACACAATAGATTGTATGATATCATATTGTATAATATATATTTATACATTTTTTCTTTTTTTCGAAAACTGTCAATTTCCTAAAAATCGGCCAATATGTGAGTTTATAGAAGTCAGAAGAAATTAGCAATAGTTAACTCCGATGGCACGATATTAGCGCTATTTTTCTATGATATATGTCTGCCTATAATGATTGATTTAGATAAACCACAAAGCATTGCTAGAGATTAACGATTAGGTAGTAGGTACATAAGTATTAACCAAAAGTAAATTTTTCCGATATTTTTAAAACAGTTTTTGGTCAGAGATTTAATATTTCAAAACTGTAATCATGAAAATATTGCTAAAATAGTATACAGAGTGATACATTTAGCGTTAGACACTAATTTTATAGTATTTCTTTGTGAAAACATTTTTGTTCGGTTATTGTACAATATTATAAAATGACCAATTATTTACTAATTGGTACTATCCTTTTTTACTATCATCCAGAGCGCTATCAACTTTTGAAACTTAGGTGGGAACGTATGTAAATTTTAATTAACCGTTTAAATTAAAAATAATTTGCTGACAATTTTGAGTGGTCGATAACTACTTTTGGATAAATATTTTTAAAGTTATTAGAGTTTAAAGTTTATGGCAAGAGGAAAGGTGTAGTATAGCATTATTTTCACCTACGCGCATTACTCATCCGCACCCCATCTCCAGTCCTAAATTTTATACACCAATAAATTCATAAGTAATTATCAAACACTGGTCATGTTTACCAGTCAACATTTTTAGCAATTTTTTAATAAAAGTGTTTTCACAAAGAAAGTCTACAAAACTGTTATTACTTTCCGAGTAAATAAGTGTCTCCGGTTAAATTGATCACCCTGTATAAATATGTTTACCTATGAACAAATATTTTAATAACATCTTTTTACGAATTTATAAGTACCTATCTTTTATATTTTATAAGTTTTCTAGTATGTTTGTTTCCACGTTGCGCTCAAATTACTTCATATTAATCGTTTGAAAGCATTTAAGAACTGTTATCAATTTCTAATTACTGTATTGATCATACTGTATTGAACATGCCGGTGTATACCAAGTCGTTATCGGCTACGGCGAAGAAAATAGTTTGCGATGGTCAACGGACGGACGAGGATGGGAGCCTCGTGCGTGAAATTTCTACCGTAAAAACATAATAATATATTAAGACATCCCCAACTGCCGGTGTAATGGGCCTTAACAATGAAATGAGAAAAAGGATGATAAATAAATAATAAAAAAAAAAACAAATTATTTGTGTTTTCTATTAGTCCGTGTATATTTACTGAGAAATCGGCCGTGAAGCGAACCTAACCGCGGCGGCGGCGGCACTTGTTCAGAACAATGCCATATTTCAATAAACACACACAAGTCTTTAGGTTATGTTATTATATCCTTGGAAAATTCTTCGTTATATTGTTGCTGTTGTTTCCGCTCGGTTAAATGCATGGTGAGAATCCAGTATAAACGATTATCGGCCAAGGAGCCCGGTATGTCCGTAGAAAGAAAAATAGGCAATACATAAACATATTATAATGTACAAACATGTGATCAAAATAGGCACGTTCGAAAATACATTCTCATCTTCAAATTTCAAACTAAATATTATAGTTCTCATCATCGTAAAATTAATTATTTTCATGACCATAATAAGGCGTGGACACGGGTATTATATTACCGACTTAAACTACCTGCGAGCCCAAGCTAGGGCTTGAAATTCCGTAAAGGGTAGCTTCAAATGCCTGCTAAGCCCTGTGTCACCGCTAGAACCAGTGTTGTTCAACTTTACATTATATTACCGTATGATTATAACTATTTAAGTAGATGGATCTGCCGAGTCGTACCGAAGAATATCGACTAATGAGTCCGTGAAAATGAACTGGAAAATCGTTGTGTTTTATAATCCATGTCCAATTTGTCGGTAAGAGAACCTAACACGTACAACGTACGCGACATGAAGTCAAGACGGGTCTAACGCCAACTGAGGCGTTTCCTCGATCAATGACTTTGAGAACATTTACAATTTTTGTCCTATTACAACTTACTTGTAAGAACTTGTGTTTTAATACTTGTTGAGATTATGTAACACTATTTTATATAATATAATAATTATTATGTAAAAACATAGACATTTTGTGTTTTCTATTTCGTTATGTCTTAAAATGTAATTTTTATCAATAAGTTGTAGTATGCCTACAGGTTTTGAGTGACTATGAAGTATAAACACTACTATACTTAATATATTTATTTTCGGATACGCAATATTACCTACGCGGTACTCAATGCAAATGTCTTGCTAACATTTCAATTCCCAACACTCGGTATAATTACAGTGCCGAGACGATAATGGATAATATTCCGTTATTGTATTCTTCAACCAAAGGGTCAAGGGCGACCAAGACCAAGTTTGTGCGGGTCATCACAATAACACTAATATGGTTGTTATAGTAATTACCACCAACAACGACAATAATCATAATTAATATTTGTATAAACAGGTATGGTGTGACATTTTTAAAATAATTAATTTCACCGAGCGGATCAACATTAGTATTATATAATACATTTTTTTTAAAATTCGAAGGGCAACGGAGTTATGGAAAGTCTTATACGTATTTCGAATAAGGCGAAACTCGAGTCCGTTGACCGCGCAAAGATTTATTTTTCGGAATTAATTATTATCATCGCTGCAGCAGTGATGGTATAGGCGTTTCCCAGGCTATTATAGTTTATGAAATCCACGGCCGCCGCGCAAATGACTCATCGGATTACCCTCTGCTCTCCAGCGATTTAGGTGTACTCACGGGTGTAAGCACAATTTGTATAACATACAAAAACCTTAAGAACATATTTATATATGAACATGAACGTGCGGACTGCGGCATTAAACGTGTGTCTCTTTTTTCTATATATATATATATATATATATACAGGGTGATTTTTTTTATCATGGGCAACTCAATATCTCATAGGGTTTAATAAGAAATATTATAGATTTCTTAAATATTTTTTTTCATATTGTTTTTATACAATGTGATCTCAATTTTTCACAACTTTATTGTTTTTACCACCCTTCAAACTTGGCTTTTTGAAGTTTCAAGTTTAGGGCAGGAGGAAAAGTGGAGTGTAGTACTATTTCTATCTTTGCGCATTTACCAACCGCACTTCCCCTCCCGTCCTAACTTTTAAACTCTTATAACTTTAAAAATAGTTGTCCAAAACTGGTTATCAACTAGTCAAAATATTTAGTACCTACATTATTCTCAATTAAAAAAGTTAATGAAATATGTTATACTTTACCATTTAAATTTGAAAAGTTGCTATCAAAAAAACTAAGTTGGGAGGGGGTAAAAACAAAAACAAATTGTGAAAAATTGAGATTACATGGTATAAAAACAACATGAAAAATTAAATTAAATTTCTTATTAAACCCTATGAGATATCGAGTGGCCCATGTTAAAAAAATCACACTGTATATAGTATATTTAAATGTACATAATAGGTATAAGTAGTATATTGTATTATTATTAAATGGCGGGCAATAAATTCTGACGATCAGGCGCCGTCGTTCTCGACGCCTTCCGATATAATAATTTCTTTATACCATACTTGGTCCCGACTAGTTTACAATCAGAAACATATTATAATATGTAATTAATACTGCATTTTACCGTTACCCGTGGTAAAAATGCATTGAATCGCTTACACAAACAACGGAATAATTTCTATAACACTTTCTCACGTACTAACGCTTTTGTATTTAGAGGCTTTAAGTATAAGAAATACACATAAACGGACTTACCTAGCATTAACCGATGGCGAATGTCCCTCTTCCATCGAAGGCTTCCTAAAAAAGGCGAACACATTATTAGATTTATTAAATTAATAATTACAGTTTTTAAACTAACTTATCAATAGCAGATAAAGTCAGAAGTAAAGATTTTTGAGAAAAACCACGAACAGGCACATGCTGTTGAGGTTCAGTGCCGCACAGCATATTTAAAACTAATGGTAATAAATATGAAATAAAAAACCATAGAATTTTACCCCTTTCCTCTATCTCACCTATCGAGCGAAGTGTAATAGTTATTAGCATTTAATAAACTATATATGTTTTGAGTCTGAAAAAATACTACACATTAGAACTTAACTGAATAATAAGAAAGGAGCATTAAAAAATGTATAATTAAAATTGTAATAATAGTGTTACTTAATACAATTATTAAATGTGTAAAATCAATCCTGAGAAAATGGTATATATCGTAATAATAGTAATTTACAGATTTTTCAAAAAAAGTCATGTACTCATTCACTATACTGTACATTGATCTACAATGTTTAATAAATATATTATACATATATCATGATTTTAGAGGCGGTTTTATTATGGTGAAATGTCCTCGGGCTAATATTATATATGTTATATAAAACCGAATTTGTGATTAAATACTATACTGAGCATAATTTATACATCTTTCTTGACTAGTTTCCAGTAGCCGTTTGTATAGCCTGAGGGATCAGTCTACATCCTTATTATGTTTTATTATTTCAATGCGAAGTATACAGAATATATAATTATTCGACGGTGGGAATATCACTAAGTTGTTACTTATTACTTACAATTAAACACGATGTAAAAGCGATAATATGCATAAACAAAATTGAAAACTATACTTTTGTTATACTGTAAATTGTGATAGATTCGGTAAAATAATAATAAATGTATTTATTAGATTTATCATTTAAATAATGTAAATGGATACAATGCATTCTAAAAACTTGCGAACTTAAGTGGTTTTAGCTAGTTATATTTCAAATAAATTCATTTTTATATTTAATGTTCGAAAAATAATATTTAATATTCAAGTTGAAAATATTATTTTAAAAGATAATGTTAAGAAATAACTTTTAAAAGTCAAATGTGAGTAATTATTTATGTATTATATTTATCTATGATTAATACGCTCTGATAAATAATTTTTGACAATTAGCAATGTAAACTATAGACTAGGGGTGAGGTAGACTGTACTATTGCTTAGGTATATTCACAAGCACCACTTACCCGCACTTCCTTTCACGCCTAAACTTTAAATGATAATACTTCATAAAGTATGTATTTGTAACTGGTTATCGACCTGTCATTGTTTTCATTACATCATTCTGCTTTTTTTTTATTTTTTATTAAAAATATATTTTCTTTATTTACAATCTATACAAAATATGTATAATCAGCAAGTCTGATGACAACGATACAATGACATAATGTGTGAATAGGAAGGCTCTCAGCAGTGCCACCTGACCAGAAAAATTCTGCTTTGTAAAATATTTATATTTATCACCCATCAATTTTATACTTAAAGAATACAAATTTTATTTAAAAAAATGTTTAGCCTGCATAATTATTTCATTGAAAAAAAAATAACATAAGTGTAACATAAAATTATGTTCAACTATTGTTCAAAATCATGATAACCTTGTATAATATATTATAACCTATTAAGTGTGCCACAGTGACAGGTATGAGCATTTACATCTGCTTCCTTGACAATCTTTTTTTTTTTTTCACCGCCTGAGGTAGTATTTAAAGCTTATCTTATTGTTTCGTGGGAAATATGCCTTCATGCGGTTTATTAAACATAAATATAACATATATATTATGATATATTCGTCTATTTGAGTAGTAGCAATGAGTTAGTTACGGGTAAATAAATAAATCGATTATTCGGTTAAAATGGTTTTTTTCTTATAATTAAGGAGTAATGATCCTCTCTGTTAAACTCGATCACGCTTGGACAATACTAATTTAGATTTCTATGCTTCTTTGAGATACTTCACTGAATTAAATCTATGAGTACATCGAATGAAAATGGTGATGTATTTCCCAAGATTATTATCAATATCTATTATTACAACAAAATATTAGTTGGTTTAAAAATATAATTTTTTAATTAACCTAATGGATTATTATAACTGCAATTTTACATCTACTCATTGTAGGTTTAGTATGTTTAGTTACAATTGTTTAAGGAAATATATATGAATGATTGCTTTATTTGTTTAAAAATAGAAATGTATTAATTTAATAATAACTATAGTTTATTATGCTAGCAAATAAAAATTATAATTTTTAGTAAAAAACTTTAATAATATTTTAAATAAATTTTACAAAATAATTTTGATAAAAGTGTAATGTTTAATTTTATAATCACAAGAATGTGCAATGCCTCTTATTTCTTATTATTTTATTGTTATAAATGTATACATCTATTCATGTTAATTATGAATTTTACAAATTTTATTTACTTCAGCTTGTTTAGTAAAATTTGTATTAATAAAACTATTTTCTTACATTTTTATTTAAGTAATTAAGTTTTCTTGCATATAGGTACAATGTACATACATTTATTATTTTTCATCAAAAATGACCTAACAGCATAAATAACTTGATATAAGATAAAAATATTTAAACGCTATATTTGATTTAGTTAAATTAATTACTATTTTGAAACTCTTAAAAAGACAATACAGTTCTTGAATATTTATATTCTACATTATACGATTATTGATAAAATATAATAAATTAAGGGGAATTTGGTAAAAACTGGTCAGTTCTGCTAACCGAGGCTGCTTCTTGCGAAAGACAGGCATTGGAAATAATGAATATCGCATACCAATTATAATTACTCGTATGTATTTACCATACGGTATTATTCAAGAATTACCGTGAAAATAATGTAAATAATTAGAATACCAACAACGTGTAATATGGTGTACAGGCACTAGGCACGCCTTGGCCGTGTAATGGACGGAAGCGAAACGGATCACGTTTTCTAAAATTAAAAGGAGACAAGTGGGTCTTGAGTTTTTGGGTAGATACCGTAATTATAATATATGCCTAAAGGGGAGTGCGTTTTTGTAAATCGGCGGCTCCATAACAGATAGTCAGTTACTTGTAAAAAGTGCATAATGTGCTATATTATACACACACCGTGCGCGCGTGTCGTAGTAATTAATAACCGGACATTTGTTCTTTTTTGTGTTAATCTGTATACTAGGACCTGCGCTTAAGTACTCTGCGGTTACTTTCTAAAAAGAAAAAAAAACGATGAAGATCACATTACTAATGGACAATAATTAACCAAAGCGGCGGCGGTCACGGTACATGTTTTTCTGTTGTGTATCGGCAGCGGTGATGAGGACACGCGATCGCTCCAAACCAAATATTACACTTTCGTAAACATCCATTATTGACACGAGGATCATTTTTTAAGTTCTCAAACATTTTTCGTTTTTTTTTTTTCAAACGTTCGGCCCATCAGTAATACCTATAAAGTAAACCGCGTTGCCTTACTATAACAGCATGAAATATTGTTAAACTAATTGCTCCAGACCTTCAACCAACAATATTATAATATACAGACATACACGAAGTGCTCGGAAATTCATCTTTTCAAAGCGCACGGCCATAAAACGAGAACCGCATCCCATCGTTGAAAATGGTGAAATGTGTACATACTTACACAAGCGATACTACATTTGATACTATTATTATACAATCGATTGAGTTGCACGCAGTGATTAAAAGTACAACAAAATAAATAATCATTATGTTGTTAATATTTTATGGATATACAGTTTTTTGAAAAATAAAATGATAACGGACCACGTCTAACATTAAGTACAGTCAACCGTACTTACTTAAGTATTTTTTAGTTTAATTTAATTTACAACACTGGAGAACACGATAAGTATCATCCACCAATCTAGCCTAGGCTTAATAAATTTAAAAACCTAATGAGTTTCTAAGGAGGTTCACTATATTTGAAAAATATAATATGATGTACAGTCGTTGCCAGATAAGTTGGCACAGCGGCGACGGCCTTAATCAGCAAGTGTATCCCAAACTAGTCTTTTTCCTCGACCGTCCGTCGGCTAAGACGAGCATAGTTCGGCCGCGACGGTTCTTTATTATTATTATTATTACTATTATTATTATACATTTTATGACAACATTTTTTAACGTTGACAAATAGCAAAAATGGGCAATGTGCATTGATACTTTTGATTCGTGTACATATCGAAATCTTTTTTTATTATTATACATTACATACTATTTATAGGGACCAGAATCCAGTTGATATTATTTAATTAATTTATTAATTTCAAATAAAATGATTACAAATAATAAAACAATTGAAGGTTTCCAAGAAAATGTATTGGAAAGTTATGACAAATTCAATGTCATACGTTGTATAATAAATATTATATCAATTAATACTTGAAGAAAACGTACCAACATTTGTATAGTAGGTACAACCTAGACGCTCGATGCACTTTTTGTACCAAAGTATTATCGATACACGGTAATCGATGGACGTTGATACGTGCTCACATTTGACGTTGCACTGTGGTGTTGTTTAAGTCAACCACCGGTCTGCGTTCAGTGTGTACATTACTATCGCGTTTATGCGCGTCGTTATTGTTTTACCACACACATTGTATTAGGTATTACGGTGTTATTGTACATATAAATATATATATATTTATATATATATATATATATAGCTAATAGCCGAGTAATAATATTATAAGGAGTAGCTGCAGGTCAACGGTGTTGTACGGTGTCGGCCGCCGCCGACAATATCATCGGTTGACCCAGAACACACAATGCTCACAACAAGAAAGACTGAGCACGTGCCCAGGCTCATTTGTGCGCTAAGTCACGTATCTGCTGGCAGCTGCCATGTCGCCATACGTGTGTGCTCCGTCCAAACTTCGTCCAGAGACCGTTTCGTACAAAACTGAAAACTTTTCACGGGCCATATTTGAGCCGAGTTTTACTTGTAT